TTTCGGGGCTTAAATTCCTCCATCTCAGCCGGGGTGGGCACCGCGGGACGTACAGGCGGTGAGTGCAAAGGGACGGAAATCCCTTTGTTCTAATAGTCTGCCTGCAGCAACCTAAGGCTGCAGGCAAAGTGATTCCTGGATAGCAAGGGGCATTAATCCAGTAGCAAAAGACCCAGTGGAGGGAAGAGCCATTGGAGAGCATCTGAAGGAAGAGATGGGCAGGCGCCAAGGCAAGAATTCCTCCAACAATCTGAAAAACAACACGAAAACTCCAGATCCCAGCGATCTTATGACAGAAGGACTTGAACACCCTATACCGGAAGAAGTGGAAAACAGTGTCATTATAAAAGCAATAGAGTCTCTTAAACAGGGTATGAATAACTCACTTAAAGAAATAGAAGAAAAATATAACAAAAAGATGGAAGAAATGAGTAAAGAAATAGAAGACAAATATAACAGAAAGTTTGAAGAAATAAGTAAATTCGTAAATGATACCCTGGGAAACCAAGAAAAAACAATCAAACAGGTAATGGAATCAGTTCAAGAATTGAAAACTGAAATGGAGGCAGTGAAGAAAACACAAACCGAGGACCGGCTGGATATGGAAAATCTAGGTAAACAAACAGAGACTTCAGGAACAAGCATAACCAATAGAATACAAGAGATAGAAGAACGAATCTCAGATTATGAAGACACCATAGAGAAAATAAATGCCCTGACCAAAGAAAACAGCAAATCCAACAAATTCTCATCACAAAACATTCAGGAAATATGGGACATAATAAAAAAAACCAAATCTAAGAATAATAGGAGTAGAAGAAGGAGAAGAATTGCAGAACAAAGGTCCAGAAAATATATTCAACAAAATTATAGAAGAAAACTTTCCCATCCTAAAGAGTGATATTCCTATGAAGGTGCAAGAAGCATACAGAACACCGAATAGACTGGATCAGAAAAAAACATCCCCTCGCCATATAATAATCAAAACACAAAGCATTCAGATTAAAGAAAGGATATTAAGAGCTGCAAAGGAAAAAGGTCAAGTAACCTATAAAGGTAAACCTATCAGACTTACACCAGACTTCTCTATAGAAACCATGAAAGCCAGAAGGTCCTGGATAGAGGTACTGCAGAAACTAAGGGACCATGGGTGCAAGCCCAGATTAATATACCCAGCCAAGCTTTCATTCACTATCAACGGAGAAAACAAAATATTCCAGGATAAAAACAAATTTAAACAATACGTAACTACTAATCCAGCCTTACAGAGAATATTAGAAGGAAAATTACATCCCAAGGAATCCAACATTGCCAACACTGACTACAATAACTCAGACATCTAGCGACCCTTCACTAGCACAACTCAAAGAAGGAAAACACATACACTCTACTACCCCCCCAAAAAAAATGACTCGAGTCAACAACCACTGGTCATTAATATCTCTTAATATCAATGGACTCAATTCACCTATAAAGAGGCACAGACTTAGAGATTGGATACGAAAACAGGATCCAACATTCTGCTGTTTACAAGAAACACACCTCAACCACAAAGACAGACACCTACTCAGAGTAAAGGGTTGGGAAAAGGTTTTCCAAGCAAATGGACCTAAGAAACAAGCGGGTGTGGCCATTCTAATATCTAACAAAATCGACTTCAAACTAAAATCAATCAGAAGAGATGGAGATGGACATTTCATACTCATAACAGGAACAATTCATCAGGAAGAAGTCTCAATCTTGAATATCTATGCCCCTAATATAAAGGCACCCACATATGTAAAAGAAACTCTTCTAGAACTCAAGGCAGTCATCAAACCACACACACTAATAGTAGGAGACTTCAACACTCCTCTCTCACCAATGGACAGGTCAAACAGACAGAAACCTAACAGAGAAATAAGAGATTTACTGGAGGTACTGAATCAAATGGACTTAACAGACATCTATAGAACACTCCACCCAAATAGGAAAGAGTATACCTTCTTCTCTGCAGCTCATGGAACCTTCTCGAAAATTGACCACATACTTGGTAACAAAGCAAACTTCCACAGATACAAAAAAATATTAGTGACCACCTGTGTCTTGTCAGATCACCATGGATTAAAATTAGAATTCAACAACAATGGTACCCCCATGAAGCCAACAAACTCATGGAAGTTGAACAGTCAACTACTAAATCACCCCTGGGTCAAGGAAGAAATAAAGAAAGAAATTAAAGTCTTCCTTGAATATAATGAAAACAAAGACACAACGTATTCAAACCTATGGGACACAATGAAAGCAGTGCTAAGAGGAAAGTTCATAGCACTAAGTGCCCACCTAAAGAAAACAGAGAAAGCACACATTGGAGACTTAACAACACACTTGAAAGCTCTAGAAAAAAAAGAAGCTGATTTACCCAGGAGGAGTAGAAGACTGGAAATAATCAAACTGAGGGCTGAAATCAACAAAATAGAAACACAGAAAACAATTCAAAGAATCAATGAAGCAAAAAGCTGGTTCTTGGAGAAAATTAACAAGATTGACAAACCCCTATCCAAACTAATCAAACGGCAGAGAGAGAACTTGCAAATTAATAGGATCAGAAATGAAAAGGGGGACATAACCACAGACACAGAGGAAATACAGAGAATCATTAGATCTTACTACGAAAGTTTATATGCCACAAAGTTGGAAAATGTAAAAGAAATGGACATTTTTTTAGATAAGTACCATATACCAAAGTTGAACCAAGACCAGGTGAACAATCTAAATAGACCTGTTAGTCGTGAAGAACTAGAAGCTGTTATCAAAAATCTCCCTACCAAAAAAAGCCCAGGACCAGATGGTTTCAATGCAGAATTCTACCAGAACTTCCAGGAAGAGCTAATACCTATACTCCTTAATGTATTCCACAATATAGAAAAAGAAAAGTCACTGCCAAACTCCTTTTATGAAGCTACAGTCACCCTAATACCAAAACCACACAAAGACACAACCAAGAAAGAGAATTACAGGCCAATCTCACTCATGAACATCGATGCAAAAATTCTCAATAAAATACTGGCAAACCGAATCCAAGAACACATTAGAAAAATCATCCATTATGATCAAGTAGGCTTCATCCCAGAGATGCAGGGATGGTTCAACATACGCAAATCTATCAATGTAATCCATCATATAAATAAACTGAAAGAAAAAAACCATATGATCATTTCATTGGATGCTGAAAAAGCATTTGACAAAATTCAACACCCATTTATGATAAAGGTGTTGGAGAGACTGGGGATACAAGGATCATACCTAAATATAATAAAAGCAATATACAGCAAGCCGACAGCTAACATCAAACTGAATGGAGAGAAACTCAAAGCCTTTCCACTAAAATCAGGAACGCGACAAGGCTGTCCACTCTCTCCATACCTCTTCAATATAGTTCTT